CATCCATTCATCTGTTCATCCATCCATCTGCACATCTGTCTCTCCATCCATCCATCCATCTGTTCCTCCATCCATCTATCCATCTGTCTGTCCATCCGTCCCATACCCACTTTGCTGAGCTTCTGCATCATGAGCAGCTAGGGTAAGGAACCACAAGATCAAAGATGAAGAAGACAACCTGGCTCTGCAGGATGGGTCATATTTATTCTCTGCAACTCAACTTGGTTTCAGTTTTTAGTTCATTACTATGGCAGAAACAGAATCCCAGCCTAATTTCCAAGGGACCTAACTATTGCCAAGACACTGGGGCAGGGGGTTTCTGGTCTTCTAGTCTTCCAGAAGTTCACAGCTCCTAGGAGGACATCCTTTACCAGTCAGTCCACGGGCATTGCCTCCATGATGGCCTTGTTGTCATCTACATTGGCCCTTCCTGCCTGCCTGAGAACACAGGCATCTTTCTGCTGTTTCACTGCCGCACTGGGAATGTCCCTGGGGCTATAGATAGATTCGTCTGCGAATGAATGGCTTTGGAACACACAAGCCAGATATTTTTAGACTTTTATGTTTATTTTCTTTGTGCATTTGTTTTGCTTTCTGCTCCATCTCATCCCTTTTGTGAGACAGCAATCTGCTAGAAAGGAGAGCTGGAAGGGAGGACTGCAGGGCAGGGAACGCAGGCTGGTGGTCACGCACAGGGATCTGCCATTCGCATGATGAACAGCTACAAGACAAATGCGTAAAGCATTCCAGGGGGGATGGGAGGCATGTCCCAGGGACCCGTGAGCTGGGCCAGGCCAGCCACACAGGATGGGTGCTCCCAGGGAGGGTGCTCCCGGGCAAAGGGACCTGCACCGCCAAGGCCTGTGGGCCCTGGAGAAGCATCAGGACCGTGTGTGAGTGGAAGGGACATAGCTCAGGCTCGTGTGGACCCTGCCGGGAGGAAGGTGCCGCAGGCCCAGCATCCGGGGAGGCCGGCTGGGGTGGGGCCGGTGCAGCTCCCTTTCTGAGCACACGGCAGCCTGGGGCACAGACGTCTGTGGGGCTCACATCACACCCCCTCGGCCCACCCAGATTTCAGCCACAGCCGCAGTTGTGTGCAAGTCCAAGTTCACTTTTTGATTGTGGTTTCACCTCAACCTGTTTTCTGTTTCCTGTTCCAGGCGGGGAAAATCTTTGACCCAGCAGAAAATGGGAGCTGGTAGATAATATTCCAGCCTCTTATATTCCTGCCCCCAGGTGGACAATTCCTTGGAGAAGCTGAGTCTGATGGTTCCTGTAGTAGCCTTAAAAATGCGCCTTCCTGTTGGCTTTCCCTCTTTCTCCGTCCTTCTCAGTCTGTGCCTTCACCCCTGCTGTCTGGGCTCACCTCCCAGTTAAACCAACTGCACTGAATCCTTGCCTCAGGCTCTGCGTTGGGGGCATGGTGGGGAACCTGAATGAAGCACATGTGCTTGGCCAGAGAATAAGACAAACCAGAGCATGGTGGTCTCCAGGGCCCCACGAACTTCTCCTCCATCCTCTCTTCCTTCCTCTGTCCCCGCAGGTGTCTGACCGCTGCGACTACATCTTTGTCAACGGCAAAGAGATAAAGGGCAAGATGGACGCGGTGGTGAACTTCACGTACCAGTACCTGAGCGCCCCCCTGCACGTCACCGTGTGGGTGCCCCGGCTGCCCCTGCAGATCGAGGTCTCTGACACGGAGCTCAGCCAGATTAAGGGCTGGAGGGTCCCCATCATGGCCAGTAAGAGGTGAGCCTGGGTGGGAGAGATGTCCCCATGGAGCTATGAGGACAATCGCATCATTTACTGACCCTAACACTAAGGGACCCGGTGCGTAGTAGGTGCTGGTATTGTCTCGGCTATTCCACCTCCCTAAATCCTAGCAACCGCCTCTGAGGAGGCCGAGCCTCCAAGAGGACCCAGCCCGGCCCGAAAGCTGGTGCACAGCAGGTCCGTGCCAAACCCAGGTTGTCCGCGCCCCACACCTGGCTCACGGTGGACTGTCTCTTGCACGTGGCTCTCCCAAAATGCCGCCATGGAGATAAATAGAATGTTTTGGCTTCTCAGTCACCGGGGAATTTGAGGTTAAGCTTATTTACTCTTAACACTTTGCACTCGCTTGCTTTTTTCTCGATTCCTTTATTCTACTAGGGATTTAATTTTTCAAACACCCCAGATTTTACAAAGCACGGCAGTAGAAGAAAAAACTGGAGTTTCTTTTCATACAAACTTATTCATTTGGATTTTTTTATATTTCAAATTATTGATACATTCAAAGAGTCATTTTAATCTCTATAATTTTTGCTAACCGTGTCGAGTCACACTCGACACCCGAGTGCAAAGGGTTAAGGTAAACATCAGAGTTCTGTCCTGTGCTTTATGAACGTCTGTAAGCTCGGGATGCTCTGTGCAGGTCAAGTTACTGGATGCAATCTAGTGGCATTTATACTGCACCATGGGATACTGTTTGCAAAAGGCACCTCATTTATTTTCTGTGACTCCGGTCTGTCTGTCACAGGTAGGAGGTTTGGGGTCTCGTTTTCTCAGCTCCGTGGCCCCCAGATTAGTAAGTGTTTAGCTAAGTGAGGGCGTGGCTCAGTTCCCTGCCCCCTGCCTGGAATTCTTTATCCCAAACCATCAGGGCTATTTTCCTGACCGCCCCCCAGGTACCAGGGCCTTCCTGTTAAGGGACAAGGTAGAGTGTGCCTCAGGGAGATGGAACATCCATTCCTACAAGGAGAGCCTGAAGGAATTTGGCCTGATTGGAGGAGGACAGTCCGGCCAGGCATTCGGATCATTTAGGAGTCACGAGCGGCCAAGATAATGGGTGTGTTCCACGTCCCCAAGGGAGAACTGAGGCTTGCTGGGCTCCAAGGTCCACACGAATCACCATGTACAGTTAACCAGGTTGTGCACTGCACAACCAATCCAAGCTCTGCCCCTTAGTAGCTTTGTGAGTGTGGGCAAGCGACCTACTCTCTGTGCCTCAGTTTCCTCATCTGGACATGAGAATATGCTTACGGGTTTGGCCTCATGACGTCATGATGTTAAAGGAGTTCATGCACGAGGGGGCTTAGGGTGGGACCCGGCCCGTCTCTGGAGTGTAATACAGCTCTGTCCGATAGCACTTTCTATCGTGGTGGAATGTTCTGGAACCACACTGCCCAGTACGGTGACACCCATAATAGCACACGTAGCTGTGGAGCGCTCCCACTATAGCCAGCCTGGAGAAGTTGAATTTTTAAAATGTACTGGGTTTCGACGTGTTTAAATTGAAATCTAAATAGCCACACGTGGGCGCGGTAAATCCCGGCCCTCACATCTCTGGTGCGCCGATAAACGCGTTCGAGGAGGAGATGCCCGGCGACAGGCTGGTGCTCGGGGCTCCCGTCTCGATGCCGTCCCCCCGGGTGGAGGCGTGCACCCGCCTGTCCCCAGAGCCCAGCGGACCCCCCACCCGCGTCTGAGAGCCCCTTCTCCTCCCCCGCCAGGCCCACCCGAGAGAGCGAGGACGAGGAGGAGGAGGAGGACAGGCGAGGCCGGGGCTGCGCCCTCCAGTTCCAGCACGCCACCGTGCGGGTCCTCACCCAGTTTGTGTCCGAGGCGGCCGGCCCCTGGGGCCAGCCCGGCCACCTGCTCGGTCCCGACTGGCAGTTCGACGTCACGCACCTGGTGGCAGACTTCATGAAGCTGGAGGAGCCTCGCGTGGCCACGCTGCAGGACAGCCGGGTCCTGGCCGGGCGGGAGGTCGGGATGACGACCATCCAGGTAGGGAGCCTCTGTGTCCCTGTGGCTCACACCTGTGATCCCAGCTCTCTGGGAGGCCGGGGCGGGAGGTCGGGATGACGACGACCATCCAGGTAGGAAGCTACTGTGTCCCCCGCACGCAGCGTGCTGTGCGGATCCAGGTAGGGAGCCTCTGTGTCCCTGTGGCTCACACCTGTGATCCCGGCTCTCTGGGAGGCCAGGGCAGGAGGCCGGGACGACGACGACCATCCAGGTAGGAAGCTACTGTGTCCCCCGCACGCAGCGTGCTGTGCGGAGCAGACGGAGATTCAAAGAGGACAGTCCATCGCAGCCAATTCCTTGTCTCCACGATGGCCCCAGACGGTGTCCTGCGGACACAGAAGGCTGAGCCGGGACCAGCTCCTTGCGTTCCCTTCTCCTTCCAGACAGAACCAGGAAGGTGGCCGGGCGCAGTGGCTCACGCCTGTAATCCCAGCTCTCTAGGAGGCCGAAGCAGGAGGATCGCTCGAGGTCAGGAGTTCCAGACCAGCCTGAGCAAGAGCGAGACCCCGTCTCTACTAAAGACAGAAAAAATTAGCCAGGCGCGGTGGCTCATGCCTGTAATCCCAGCACTCTGGGAGGCTAAGGAGGGAGGATCACTCGAGGTCAGGAGTTCCAGACCAGCCTGAGCAAGAGTGAGACCCTGTCTCTACTAAAAGCAGAAAGCAATAAGCTGGACAGCTAAAAATATATAGAAAAAACTAGCGGGGCATGGTGGCGCATGCCTGTAGTCCCAGCTACTTGGGAGGCCGAGGCAGGAGGATTGCTGGAGTCCAGGAGACTGAGGTTGCTGTGAGCGAGGCTGATGCCACGGCACTCTAGCCCAGGTAATAGAGTGAGACTCTGCCTCAAAAAAAAAAAAAGAATTGAGAAGGTGGCTGCACGTCCTGAACACGCCTGCAACCCACGCCCCACCGCCACATTCCCGCGCGGTGACGCTGCCCGTCCCACCTCCCATTCTCCCAGGTGCAGCTGCCCACGCCCTGCACGGCTCGTCCTTCTCTGCACGGCTCTGCCAGCAGCACGCGAAGGAGCACGGGCTCTCCCTCATATCGTGCCCTCGCCTCGCGCCTCCTCCTACCGTTCAGTTTAGCCGCAAACTCCTCCTTCCCAACCGTACCTCCCTCCTGCTCCTTCCCCTCCCGTCCTTCCCCTCCCCACCTCCTCTCTTCCCCCTCCTCTTCTCCCTCCTCCTCCTTCCCTCTCCTCCACTTCCCTCTCCTCACCTCTCTCCTCCTCCCCACTCCCTCCCCTCTCCCTCCCCACCTCCTCTCCTTTCCCTCTCCCTCTCTCCTCCCTCCCCCACCTCCCTTTGCCCTCTCCTCCCTCCACCTCCCTCCTCCCTCCCTCTTCCCTTCTCCTCCCTTCCTCCTCTCCTCCCGACCTCTCTCTCCCTCCGCTCCGTCTCCTCTCTCCCTCCCTCTCCCCCTCTCTTTCTGTCTCTCTCGCCCAAGTCAGGAAACGGACTGAATGGTAGGATTTGGGGACAGGTGACGGACGGGGCATGCACGGCCTTTTCCCCACCCCTCAGATCCCAGGCAACTGACTCCACCTCTGTGGAATGTCGCCGTGAAACGACCGGTACATGTCTTGTCATTTCGCCCGGGCATCGGGCATCTCAAGCCCAACACGTGGCTTATGAGACGAGGCAGAGAGCGCTGTCTCCGCAGAGGGTGCGTGCGGTGGTGAAGCCAGGAGTGGACTATCTATAATTTGCGTCTCCCCGGTTTGCTCCACGGTCCACTTAGACTTGGGTGCAGGCTGCACAAAGTCAGCTTGTGTGCAGCTCTTCGCAGGTCCTGCCGACGGGATCGCCGTGCACAGTTGACCAGGTTGTGCGTGATGCGAGGGCACCTCATCTAAAAGAAATATTGCCGGGAAAGGGTCTGACATCCAGAAAGAGGAGTGACGGCCCTTCCTCGTGTCCTGCCAATCCACAGGTGCTGTCCCCGCTGTCCGACTCCATCCTGGCAGAGAAGACGGTCACCGTGTTAGATGACAAAGTGTCGGTGACGGACTTGGCCATCCAGCTCGTGGCCGGGCTGTCCGTCACCCTCCACCCCAACTCGGAGAACAGCAAGGCGGTCACAGCTGTGGCCACGGCGGAGGAGCTTCTGCGGACCCCCAAGCAGGTAGGGGTCCGGAGGGCGGAGGGTGGGAGGGCGCGGGGCGGGAGGGAGGAGGCAGGAACGGGGCGGGCTGGCAGAACCAGGGTCCACGTCGGCAGAGCCATGGAGCCCCCGTCATTGCAGACAGAAGTGCTCGTCTTACCCACGTGGCTGTTGGGTCACGCAGACCGAGGGTCTTCAATGAACCAGAGCACTGCGGTGACTCACAGCCCACAGAGGTGCCGCTGCTACCTGCTGCTTCGTGACACCTGCCACAAACCCGGCCGCTCAGGACGGCGCCCGCCTGTCCGCTCCCGGTGCTGTGGGTGCTCAGCCGGGCTCCCCGCTCAGGGCACCACGCGGCCGAAATCAAAGTGCAGCTGGCCAGCTTCTGGCCAGGACGCTCTTGGTCGGGGTCTTCGTCCGCGGTTATTTATGCGTCGGCAGAAGCCAGATCCTTGCAGTCCTGAGATGGAGGCCCCCAGCTGGTGACTGGCTGGGAGCTTCTCTTAGCGACCGACCGAAGGCCACCACAGTCCTCCTCCCTCCTCTCTCCCTGCCCCTCCCCACGGGCCTCAGCCCAGCAGCGGTGCGGGGTCCTCACGCCCCAGCCTCCCTGCCTCCCCTTCCTGCCACCAGCTAGAGAAACCGCTCTGCTTTGAAGTGAGGGTCCAGGGGGCATCACTGGGCCCACCCAGGTGGCCCAGGAGGATCTCCTCACTCCTCACCTCCAGGCCACCCGACAACACAGCCGTGAACAGCATCCCACTCATCGCACGCGTGTCCCGGGGTTTAGGGCGGGACATCCTTGGTGGGGCCGTTCTGGAAGCTCTGCCTACCGCAGGGAGACAGCTGCGACCTGGCTTTGCTCCGGAGTGTCCCTGGAACGCCGGGGGGTCCACGTCCAGCCCGCGGTGCCGGCTCCTCTCCTCTCTCCAGGGCAGGCAGTTGGCGTGGCGTGGCGGTTTCTAGTCCATAAAGGGCAGAGTCAAGCGGGCGGAGGGACGTGCAGGGGAGAGGGCGTGGAGCTATTTGCCGAGAATGTGTAATCAATTAGGGCAGACGATTGGCATTGCAACCTCCCTGGCAAGGGGCGAGGCCACCGGTCCCCTCCCCGACGTGGCCCATCTGTCTTCATCAGGTGACAGTAATTGGCGGCCCCAGCACCGACTCTCGGGTTACGGCCGAACCACGGAGCATCTGATTTGCAGACAGGGCTGTTTTAAGGATGGAGCTCTCAATCATTCCCGGGCGGGTGTTATTTTAAGTGGTTCAGAGTTTCTCATCTTTGGGGAGTCGCGTTGGCTTCTCCTGATAAAAACGCCAGGTCCCCACCTCTCTGTAACGAGCTAATGGAAGGACTTGGTCTCAATCACACGGCGGGTTCGGACAGAGATGGATTCTGGCAGGCCGAGGGCGCTCGGGGCTTTAGCTCCGATTGTCTGCCCTTTGGGGAGCCTATTTCATGCTAACTTCTTTCTCCATCTAGAGTTTGTGAAGGAAAATTAACTCAAGAGGAAAAGTCAGCCACAGTGAGCTTGCACACTGCCAACAGGGCCTGCTCTCGGCCCGGGGAGTGTGGAAGGCTGGCACCTTGTTTGTGACCATTTTCAACTTGGAAATACAAAATCTGAAAGATTTTCGCAGCCACAAATATGAGGGCCCTGGCACATGCGTCCCCCCGCCCCCCACGCTCTGCTTGTTCTGCAGAAAGCCAGGATAGGAGAACGAGACCAATCCCGTGGGATTCAGGCGTGAGGCTGAGGCATTAGCGAGGGGCTCTCCGGGTGCAGGACCCATCGGCCGCCATGATGGGGGGGGAGGGAACAGGGCGGGAACCGCATTGCTGAGCCGGCGTCATCTGGCGTCAGTTTGGTTCCCCCAGAAGCTATGCCTGAGCAAGGACTCGAGTGCAAGGACTTTATCTAGCGGAATAAAGCAACCTCGGTGGAGAAGCCGGCAGGTGATGCTTCCAGCACAGCCACCTGCATGGGCAGCTGGTTTCATTAACCAAGATATCGCTGAACCAGTCAGGGGGTCCAGGCATCACTGACAACGATGACCGGCGTCCACAACAGGCCCTCATCCCCTGGTCACAGACACTGATTAGTGGCCTGGTCTTTGGAATTGATGCAGGTACCATGTTCCCCCGAAAATAAGACAGGGTCTTCTATTGATTTTTCCTCCAGAAGACACCCTAGGGCTTGTTTTCAGGGAATGTGTGCGTGTGTTTTTTTTTTAAGTACGGTACAACCATCTACATTGATTCAAATAGAGTGAAGTCGTCTTATTCTGGAGCATCATCATCACTCTCCAAACCCCGAACTCCATCCTGAATTTCTTGTGACTCTGTTTCCTTTGGAACCGTTGGCCCCGATCTCTCCTGTTGAGCACTACAGCTCTCGTGGGGCAGATGAGAAGGGCTGCTCGTCTTCTTTCCCAATCCTCGACAACACGCACGGGTTGTGCCACGCCCGTCACTAGGGCTGATTTTCGGGGCGGGGCTTCTATTGCGCACATGATTGGAAATCCTGCTGGGGCTGATTTTATGGATAGGGCTTATTTTCGGGGAAACATGGTACTGCGGGGGAGGGGCGGGAAACACGGTCAGGGCGGAGAGCCTTAAAGTGGAAGCTCCCTCTTCTCTCTGCACCCCCATGCCATGCGGTGGCACCTTCGACTTTGCCTGAGAAATAAGGACACGAGCGTGTTTCGCCCATTACGGCTGACCCTGCTGCCAGGTGGAAGGTGGGCTGTCACCCGGGGACAGTGATGTCCCGCGAGCTAGCGGATGGCACTGCCTGGGGCTTCCCTGTGTTGTGGGTTGTCGGTTTGCTCCTGGCGAGGCTGCTGCTCCATTTGTTCCCATTTACATTAAGTTGATTTCTCTGACCTGGCCATCGCACCTGTAGGTTTCCCGCCTGCATCCATCGGCCGCGGGGTCTGGGTTCGGGGTCCCGCCCCCTGTTTCTCAGGGTCTTCTCTAGGATGGGGCTTCTAGAGAGGAGCCCCTCCCCCAGGGTGGCCTTCTAACGCTGCGTCTCCCCGCAGGAAGCCGTGGTCAGCACGTGGCTGCAGTTCAGCGTCAAACCAAACAAGGAAACATGGGAAAAGGAAGAAAAGTTACAAGTAAGATTTAAAAATCCTTCGTTCTATCCCATGAGGCCTCCCCCTTGTAGACAGTTGCCGGAATGTGACTAAAATGTAAATGTCTTGATGGGCCAATCTTTTATGTTTTGTCCTTTATAGAAATATAACGATTTATTATTTTATCTTTTATTGTCTTTTTCATTTTTAATCTCAGAATGGTTTTTGGTAGATTGTTGTGATTTAGGTGATCATAAAATAAATCTCTTT